GATGTGTTATGAAATATTATAATAAAATAATATAATATATATTATATATAATATATATTCATATAATATATTTCATTATATAATATATATTCATATTAAATAATATATATATAATATGAATATATATATATTGATTTTAATAATATCAATAATTAATATTTAATTATTTATAGTGAACAATTCTGATTATAATTCGAAATCATTGAATATTCTCTTGAATTCCTTTCATAGAAACTCGTACGTTCGCTTTTTTTTTTTTTCGGAGAAACACAAACGAGACAGAAGTAACTAAGTTTTATAGATATAAATACATAATGAATATAATTATGTAAATAAATGTGTCATTGCGAATTGTATTTTATTCAGATATAATTTTTTTATTATAATTTATATTTTTCTATAAATTTAAACTAATTAAATAAAACCGTATATTATATTTCAAATTAATTTAATGATAGTTTTTTCCCTCTCTTTTTTGACCGCTTAAACTATAGCTACTTTGTTAATATTAATTAAAAAAAATTTTTGAATTCTGATTCGCAGACTTTTTTTCAGGTAAAAAATGAATGCGGTGAAATTCCCACAGTTCTTGTACAAAATAAGATGGACCTTGTTGATCAATGCGTCATTGATCTGTAAGCTTAACATCTAGTTTGCTTAATTAATAGTGCAATTTCAAATAATCTCAAGCATAGCATTGTTTCAGGGATGAAGCTGAAAGGCTTGGTCATATCCTAGGTTGTAAGCTTTTAAGAACATCAGTGAAAGAGGATGTTGGAGTTATGAGCGTTTTCCGGCATTTGGCATCACGATGTCTTCACGAAATGCGTCGCTGTGATGATGATTATCAGGACGATTTGAGATTATATTCTGCCGGACCTAGATCTCCTTCTGTAATAAGTAACTACTTTTTGCTTTTTTCTTATTCTTTCGTGTGATATTCCTCAATGCGATAGTTATATATTTAATTCTTCAATACTTTCATTCTACTGTACTATCATTCTGTGTTATTATTCTATAACAGGAAAAATATTTTGATGAATAAAAGATATAGATTTTATTTTGAAAAATCTGAATAAATATCTTTTTATATTAGTCATATATGAATCTAGATTAATTAGAAGTTATTTATAGGATACTAAGATATTCATAATGCAAGAAAAATAAATATGATGCATATCGATAAAATAATACATAATCGGTTCACTGAATCAATATAAAAATTATATAATTATATAATAATAAAACTAATTTTTGATGATTAAAAATAAAAAATTATTATTTTCAGTATTTCAGTATTCTTTTCAATATAACGTTTAATAATTTTCTTAATAAATTATTTTTATAAATTTATTTATGATTTAATTTTAATAAAATAAAGTTAAAAGTTTTTAAAATTGATTTAACAATTTCTTATGAATACTTAAGATTCATTCGTTTTAAACGTGTGTTGAAGAACATAGAAAATTGAAAATGAATGATATTGTTGATCGCGATTTGCATTGGCTATTAAACGCATTAATTTGTACAAATAACAATGGAATAGTGTTGATTCAGCGTGTGACCAATTCAATATAGATGCTGATCAATTGTTTTAATTGATAATACATAACTGTATAAAAAAAAACAGTGTACTTTCTTGAAAACTGCTTGAAAAGATGCATAATGTATTAACATTGATACATCGTCATCATATTTATGACTCGTAAAGATTTATCAAATCGAATTCAAAATAGATTTCTATCGTTTTTTCTTTAATATATTTTTTATTTCAAATTTGAAGAATATTTTGGTATCAGAACTAATTTATTATATTGGATAAAAACGAATTTATCATAGAAAAAAACATTAAATTTTTAATTTAATTTTTTTTAATTTAAATTGAAATTTAAAAGATAAATATATCATTAATATTGTATTTTATTAATCATTATTAATCAGTTATATAATATAATGAAATCTATAGGTAAATTAACAATCTAATAAATTTGTAATTTTTTTTGAAGAGAATATTTATCTCTATATAAATAAGAAATATATGAAACAATTTTAAATATTTTTTGATGATTCTTCTCTATAAGATTTATTTCAAAAAAAGAGAAGAACTATGAACAATTTAAAAATGTCTAAATATAATTTTAAATATATAATGTTTTATCTTAATTATTTAAAGTACAATAAAAGAAAGTTTCGTGAAGTACCGAAAATATCAAAAATAAATATTCATTAATATTATTTAGAATTACTATCAAGAATTTTAGATAATTTCCTGTAAGATATAAACATGTATGTACATACAAAGATATATCTTCAGATCGCATGATTAATAGCATTGATTTTGATAACATATAAATGTACATTGTATTATACAAATGTACAATACATACTGATTTTTATATTTTGTTTTATCAGAAAGCGAACTTTTCGTTTTGATAGTTATGACATAAAGAACTTCTGATTTTGAATTAAATTAAGTTCTCATAAAATAAATATATATTTATTTAAAAATGAATTATGTCTCAATCAAAGAAAAAAAATTATATAAAAATAAATAAAGAATTATATTCTTGTGTGATGTAATTGTACAATAAATATATAAAACATATATAATATATATATATATATAATATATACATACATACATACATATATGTATATATATATGTTGTAGGCGCATTTAGTCCAAATGGATCCACATGTGGTCGGAGTATGGGAAATGGTACCATAGTTTTGCGGTCAGGAGCCAAGACAAAGAATCATAAGAAAAGGAATTTTGTAAAAAATGCTTGTAGATTGCTTTAGTTTTTGGATAAATATGTGAAAATTATAATGAATGCTTTAATCATGTACAGATTGATATATTTATATTTATGAAGATATAAATAACTTTCATTTCAATATTTCGACACTTACAAATTTAAAATTATTATAAAATACGTACAACATAAAGTATCAAAAACATAACAACAAAGGATTAATGCAATTATCTTTAAACAATATTGTTATGTCGATTAATTTGTAATATACACTTGTTTTGATTATATATAGAATCACTATCACTATATGTCTCTAGTTTATTTCAATTACATATTGAATATTTATTATAATTATAAATGAAAAAATAACTCTAATTTATATAACTTTATTCAAATAATTCTATTAAATAAAAAAAAAAAAAAGAATTTAAGAAGTATAAAGTACAAAATAAAAAGAAAAATATAATAAAAAAATAATCTTTTATACTGAAATATTTTTATAAATTGAATTTCTCTTATTAAATATTAATTTTTCTAAATGTTTTAATGTTATTATGAATATGTGTAAATACATTTCTTCTTGTTCCCTGTATGATTTTTTATTTCTCAATCAAATATATATCTTTTATAATCTTTATTAAAAACATGAAATTTTCATATTTTTGTAAATATATTATTTGTATTGAAGATGAACATAGTAATGTTGACTATTCACATACTGAATTAAGTTAAATTATAAGTAATTAATAAAAAAAATGATATAATTTTAAATATCATAATTGAATAAAATAGCATGTTTATAAAATAATTAAAGGAATTTTAAAGAATTCCAATTCTTAAAAAATATTGAAATATATATTAATTTATATATAAACAAATACTGATATAATGGTTAACCAAATATGCTAGTTTATAAGAAAGAAAATATTATATTAATATAAACAATATTTTTTGTGAATGATAATGCAAGTTATTAATAAAAATAAAGCGTTGTAATTTTTATATCTAATTATTTTTTTAATCTATATTTTAATTTATATTAATACCTCAAGAAAATTGTAAAGAATTTACAAAGAAAAATAAATATTATAGAATGCATAAAAATATATTTATATAAATTTTGATTTATTGTATTCTATTTAAATTAAAAGTATTATATTATGAATTTTATTACATAAAAATAGATATCAGCAAAAATTAAATTCTTAAATTTTTTTTATGAATTATATGGTTATTTTGAATTTCAAACTTATATTAAAGTTGAATTTGTATGTATCAGATATAAAGAATATGTTAATTAAATGTATAAAAAGTGAATAAAAATTATATATCTATGCACTATATCATATATTAATAATCATTTTAACAACGAAATAATTACATTATACAATAACATGAAATAAAAAAAAAATTAATTTTCACATAAATTAAATAACTTTTGAAAATCTTGCCAAACTGTATATGAAATTCTTATTTTTTTTTATAATAATTGTAATATAAAGAAAATTATAAATTTTATATCAAATATGATAACTTTATCTACAATAATATAATAAAGTTATAACCATTAATAACAGTTAACATATTAAAAAATCAAATCTATAATTATAATTTATATGTAATTTTCATTAACATTCCTTAATAGTCTTTTTATAGTAGGAAGCATTATTAAGTTTAAATAGTTAAGATAATAATAAATTATAGATAATAACATAAGTATATCATATGTCAATCAGTAATCACATAAGTATAATATCCACACAAAGAACAAATACTATAAAAATACTAATAATATGTTATGTTTTTATATCTTTTAAAGAAAAAAGAAAATTAGTAAGTATTTACTCACAATTAAATCATTAAAGATTAATGAATATAAAATGTCATGATTTACACACATTTATTTATTATTCATTTTCCTTCTTTTCAAATATAGATTCTAATAAAATTATTATTCTTAACATAGTTTTATTTTATTTATATATTATAACTATTTAAAACATACACAAACTTAGTTTTTATTAAAAAATTTTATGTGAATATATTATGTATGAAAATATTTTTTTATATTAATTTTATATTTATACTTCCTACCATAATTAATGTTCAAATACAAATGTAATATCCATAAAACCTTACTTACACATACAGTAAGGCATAGAAACAATATATATATCGTGGAAAATAATTCACATTATATAATACTTTTTTTACATTTACCATAAAAATCATCATTGAATTATCATGAAGCACCCTGCCTTAAGTAACTTTTTGCAAATCTCCTTTAGAACAACTATTGCTCATTTAAGGAGTGATTTATTCAGTTTTCTTTAAAATCAATTATTTTCAATATAACTTCATAGTAATTGAATTGTATGCATTTTATCAATATAATCTAATAATCCTTGTAATCTTTTTTTTATTCGTTTTTGATCATCCATAGTACATCCAAGAATTGCTGTTTCAAAATTTTTATCAGAATGGCCAACATTTTGTGAGGTACAAGCATTCATAAAAGATGCACAACGTTGTCGAGTTCCAGCTGGATCATTACGAAGACCAACAACTAGACTATCAATCAAACCATTTACCTAAATGAATCAATTTATATTGTTAAGAACTATATTAAAAAATATATATAAATATATTTTAATACTAATTTGATATAAAATATATAATAAATGATATAAATATATAATAATATGATTAATACTTGATGTAATGCTTCTTCTTGAATCTGATCACGTTGAATTTTAACCAATACATCAACTGTTAAACATCGCATAGACAATCTTTCAGCATATCTCAGCACATCATCTTTGTCAGCTATTTTTAAAAATATATAATTTTGAATATTCTTTTATAATTTGTTTCATAGAAATATAAAAATAATATATAACATACTTATTAATTATATTCTTAATATACTCATATAATAAAAATCTTTTTAAGATATTTCTAGATATATTAGAACTAATCTTTTATTTTCAAAATATAACTAAGATTAATACTTACTCTCTTCTAATGCACTAAGAATTTCATTGTTTCTGAGAGTATCTAAGGTTGTCAAGAGAGTATCCCTTTCTTCTTCGAGTCTCCAAGCATCTTTTCTCAATTGTTCTACATGTACTTCGATCTGATCAAGAAGGCTGAATAACCTGTCTTTTGGTTTTGTTAAACCATCACAATCCGCACTTTCCATAATATGTGGTAATGGACTATCCATTCTTTTTTTAATTTTTGAAACAATATTTCAATAACACAATTTCACGTAATTAAAAAATATGAAAAATTAATTTCAGTTACAATGCAAATGCACTAATCGCGTACAAATATATTCTCGGACTCTCGTTGCGTATACTGTACTCTTGTAATCGTGATATGAAAAGATGACTGACGGAGCATGTACGGAACATCTATATATAATTGACAACTGAATTATCAATTGGATAGCGCCAAATTCAAAAAATATCTTTCTTTGTAATTAATTAAATTTAATATAAATTTTATTATAATATATATTAATATAAAAAAATAAAATTTATAATATATCTTAATACGATAATGATAAAATTATATATTTATGTTATATTATGTATATTTTAAAAATTAAAATT